ATGTTGTTGTCCCCCCCCCCCCATCTCCATTCTTCTTCTCTATACCATCTTCTACCTCCTCCCAGCACCTCCCCCCTGCAGTCACTGCCCTGTTGTCCAGGTCCATGAGTTGTGTTGTTTTTTTTCATCAATCCCTCCTTCCCATCCACCCCCACCCCTCCACCAGAGCTGTCTGCCTGTCCTCTATGAGTCTCTATTTTGCTTATTAGTTCAGTTCATTAAAATCCACATATGAGTGAAACCATATGGTACTTGTCTTTCTCTGACTGGCTTATTTCACTTAGCATAATGTTCTCCAGGTACATCCATGCTGTCACAAAGGGCAAAATTTTTCTTTCTTTTTATGTCCGAGTAGTATTCTGTTGTGTAAATGTACCATAGCTGTTTTATCCATTCATCTAGTGATGGGCACTTGGGCTGTTAGCTCCTGTCGACTACCCCAGAGTCAACCTCAGATCAGAACTCGTCACACCCTTTGCTGGATGATTGCAAATATTTCTAAAATTGCAGCACTCAGCCCTACAAATGGAGATGCCTTTCTTGGTCTTGGGATCTGGATCTTGTCTGGGCTCCACTGCATGTGAACCCTGGAAGGGAGGCAGCAAGGGCTATAGACACCTAGCTGGCTCCTCTGTGACCGAGCAGTGCCACCCTCTCCTCCATTTGGGCACACCTGGTCTCAGGCCTCAGGACCAGGAGCCACAGGCACAAAAGTACCAGAAATCCAGCTAATACTGACTACACCCCACTCAGGGTCAGAGAGGGGGAGTCCAAAAGCTATAAAGTATTGATATTCTCTAATCATGTATAGACATGTCATCTGATGTTATTTAAGACATAGAGGAAAAAAGAAGTAGGTTTGACAAATGGAACTAATTTGCCTGTTTGATATCTTGACCTTTGGAGGGAGACTGAAAAGAAGGTTGAGCTGGAACTCAGTGTAGAATAGTCAGCTGTAGGAGAAGGGGCTGAGTGCAGGCCCAGACGGACCACCCGCTTCTCTCTCTAGTACATAGTTACATGTTAGTGGTGAGAACAAAACCATGAGACTGCCCTTTGTGTTAAATGTGCTTAATGACTCAAGACTTCCACATCCAGGACGAGGGACCCCCAACTCCATCACTGCAGATGCTCTTTAGCACAGTAAACTGTCCCCCCAAAACGTGGCATCACAGAATAAAGTGGCACTTCAAGTCAGCATGGGCACCAGTGCTGGCAACTAATGAGCTAGCAGCCCTTTCTAGCACCCTGTCTCCCTCCCTGTAGCAGGAGATGGACAGTTTATAGTTCGGAGCACTATTTTGAAGCAGTACTTTGGCCCTTTATTGGCTATTACTGTCAGGTGAAAGTCATGGGATATAATGCAAACGAGGCAAGAGTCGCAAAACTGACACAAATTTTTACACAAAGCACAATAGCATTTTACACAAAAGCATGTTAAAATGTTATAACACATTAATTTTGACTTGGATTTTAGGAAATGTTTCAAAAAGGGTACTTGAGAATGATGACTATATGGTACTTCATATCCTACAAGTCTTTATTTTTCTATCTGTGGCAGTTAAACTAAGGCTTGAATATTGCAAGCAAGTTGGAGTGGAGAAAAGTGATACTGTGCTCCCTGCAACTGTATAAGGCACGGTTGCTAAGCTACTCACAGGAGAAGCCACCTGGTTTTAGGAGGCTGGGATCTAATTGTTGCTGACAAGGAATTTCACAAACTGAAGTTTTAAGAGTCATCGCTCTTACTGCTCTGTGATTTTACCTACTATTCACACACATTGTTGAACTGTTTTCAAAGAGAACACAGTGCTGGGAATCTGAATGAGCTAAAACTTTTTTCTTCTGTGGTTCAATGGAAATTTACAACCCCTTTTTAGAGAGATAAAAACCTGATTTTATTTTATTTTTAAATACTCCAGTATGTAGTTCTATAAATCTGTGTCAGTGGTAGTAATGATTTAGGCCTCCTGGTGGGGTCAGTGTTATCTGAAGCAGTTGGGAAGGCAGTGTAAGGGGGTATGAGTGAGTCTTTAGCCTCCCTAACTATCAGCATGGCAGATGCAGCACTGGAGGCCACTAAGGGCAGGGGGACCCAGGGGTTTGCTCCCCCAGGTCCAGACACCCTATTCCTGGGGCTGGAAAACTGTAAGGAGATAAGGAGCTCTTGAAGCAGCAATGAGGAGGAAAGGGCCGTTACCCCTTTCCATACTGTGGCTGATGATTGGCTTCTGAGAATCCAGGATGAGTGGAAACTGACAAATCCATGAAGAGTGGGCATTCAGCTCCTGGGCCTCCAGGAGTGTCCACATGTGTCCTGATCTTTGTGTGACACATTCTAGCCTGAAACATACCAGATGCCACCACTAGACCTCAGGCTTCTGGGGAAATTCAGGCCAGGTTGCATGCAAAGTGGACAGCATAGTAGAGATGAAGTAGTCCTTTCATCCCACAGGCAAGGGCAGGAGAGTGGGCCACAGAGAAAACATGGTTCTCCATGAGGAATTTAGAAGCAGTTCTATGGAAGACATTGCTCTTTCCATCCTCCTTAGTTTAAGCAGACTTTGGGGACAGAAAAAGAATTGCATTTCATGTGACTGGCACAGGGAAGTAAGACCAGCCAGTTTTCTCCTTCCTTTTCCATTTTGAGGGAATGAGAGACACCAAAAATTGACAATTAAAGTCTAGACTAAACATGTCACTCGTATCTTTAACAATCACTTTTGATATCTTAAGATTGACTGATCATATTATGTAAAAAAAAGAAAAAGATAGGATATTACTATTTCCTATAGCCAAGTAGGTATGTCAAGCATCCTGGGTGTCTATCCAGTAGCTCCAAGCCACCAGCTCCTTCCCTATCAAAGTCAGGCCTGATGTGCCCTAAGTAGTGGGCACCAAGCTCTCTTCCAGACGGCCAGGTTGGCTCTGCCTCTGCCTGCGCAAATGCTCTGGCCTGCTGGGCCCTGCAGGCTGCAGTCAGCAGGTCTGGGGTGCTAACTACTCTGGGGGCTCTCAGGCATTGCTCTTTGCTTCAGCGTTAGGAATTTATGTCACTGGAGAATGAGCATCTTAGAGAGAGAGAGAGAGGCAGAGAGGGAGTGTGAACTGGAGCTGGCTTTGCTGCAGACACTTGTACCTAAGAACAGGAAGGGGAAGAGTATAAACAGGATGTAGTCCTGAACCACCTAATTTAATTCCCTTTGCTGCTTTCACAGCTGAATCTAGAACTTGGGAGTCCTCTCATACTGAAGGTTGCTATGACAACAGAATAATAGTGGGGAGGGGGACATTCAGTGACTCTATAGAAAGAGCCAGTTGGTTCGGTGCTCATAAAACTCACTCAAGGAAAATGCTCGACCCATGGGGCCTCAGAGTAACCTCACCAACAAGGCGAAAAACATTTAAAAGACACATTGTCTCGCTGGAAAACTGCTGTTTTCTTCCTGGGCTTCATCAGACCTTCAGTATTACATGACTAATGGACATGTCAAATTAGATGTTACTGAGCAACAAACATTCTCCTCCTTGCCACCCCTGAACAGGGCAGAGAGCCAGCCAGCAGGAGTCATGGTGATGGGGACAGCCTTAAAGCCCATGGCCACTTGGAGAATGGCAGAGCTACTAGGGGTTTGCCCAGACTAGCTGGGGCTTCCACACCACCCCACTGCTCAAAGAAGAAGATAGTCACATGGAACCCCCACCCAGCAATGAGCCCTCTGATTCTGGGTCCTGCCAGCTGCTTTTCTTTGGCCCACAGATCACAAGTTCTTTTAAAAGAAAGTGGATCCACCAGCCCGATATGGCTCATGCCTTCCTTTTGCCCTAAGCATCACCCAACAGGTTCTGGACCCTCAAGCTAGCTTGCTTCCTTTGAGCATCCTGAGTGACATTTGGGTCTTTTGTTAGAAATGGATTTGTTTTAGCCAGTTACTCCCTGTTCCCCTTTGTGCCCAGTGCCCTTGAAGTGTTCACTGCCCTCATCTGTGTCCCAGGCTCACTTCTCTGTGACTTCCCGGCTGTCCTGTTATTTCCCACCTCATGCTTTTCTTTTCAGCTGAACCTTATTCACAGTGAAATCAGTAATTTAGCCGGCTTTGAGGTGGAGGCCATAATCAATCCTACCAATGCTGACATTGACCTTAAAGATGACCTAGGTAATTGGGGATGGGGTTTGGCGTCGCCAGCTGTCAGATGAAAAGTTATGGAACCCAGAATTTAGGTTCTTCATCTTCTCAAACTTAAGATAGTCCACCCAAATTCCCCAATACAAGATGAATTTTTCGTTGTAGACATTGAATGTCTACTTAGAGCCATTCCAAATGGAAATGATCTGATGGTGTTTCGTTAAGTGCAATTGGCTGCTTTCTTATCCTTGATAATAAATATATTGCCATCTAAATTCTCTTCCATAATGATCACACTGACTGCTGGTTACTTGGGGGGGATTTAAAAAAAATGTATTTGGTTTTTTTAGAACGGAAAAATCTCAGGTAACTACAAAATGATAGTTTCTCCATTTAAGCCTTAATTAGAAATGACAACTCAAAGCTTCAAAGCAACTGAAAAGGGAGACAAGCTGAATCAGTATACAATTAAGCTGTCTTTAATCCACCAGCAAATTGGTTTCCCCAAAATTTACTGCCTATTGTCACTTGTTCAACTTTTTTTTGCAACTGAAAACAGTATATGTCTGAGTGCCACCGTCATGAATTATTTGGCTAGAGGATGATATCAAACAGAGGGACAATATTTCTTCCCAAGTGAGTTCCTACAGAGGAAGGCTCTGCTCCCTAGCCACAGGGTCTCCCTGCTCAGGAGGATAGAGGGTTCAGAGCCATCTGAGAGTGACCCTCAGGCATCCATCTGTGGCTTCATCTTTGCTGTCAGCTCAGAGGCCCCAAAAGGCTCCTGTCCTCTTAGCTGTGAGCCTTGCCAGGGGCAGTGGACTAGCACGTGTCCACACCGAGGCATCCTCTTGCCTGATGCTGACTTACATGCGTTTTGTGTGCCTTAGCTCCCACATTAGGCAGATTTCCTGGCTGGGAGGGAGACTTGTTCCAGAGTGCCGGCCCAGCCCACACAACCTCGGTGCAGCAGTGGGCTGAGGACATGGGACTGGGACTCAAGAATGCCCTGCTTGAACTTGTTTTCCAACTGCCTTTACCAGATACCGTCTCTAAAAACAACAAAGGCTCCAAGCTAGAAAAAGCAAGGATTCTATCCTATTTTATGTACTAATACATAGAAATAAGATTACCTAGAATAAGAGGTAGGCCTGGAAAAATATTCTTACTCTTTGAAGCGAGAAAATAAAGACAGTCCTCTATGTATACCTATACTGTTTTCTCGGTTTTCAAGAAGGTAGATCAACTGATGAATGTCACAAGAATGAATATCAAACCTGGAAAGTTAACTGCTGCTGACAAAATGGAGAAACTGATTGTTTTGGTTGGCCTGATAGTCCACCACTTTTTTTTTTTAAACAGATGCCATGTTTTAGTAGCATTTTCAGTGGGGTTCCAGTTACACAGGCTTTGCGAAGTGAAATGGGGCATTCGTTGTTTTGTTATTTCTTTTAACCTTTGAAATGATCTCATCTGTGTGTTTCTCTTTTTTTGGGACTTGTCATTCAAATGTTTAATTTCAACATGTCACATTTGATATTCCTCCTCCTCCTCACCCCCATCCACGTGTGCGCACACTTCGTGGACTGTGCCCCCTGGGCTCCTATGTTGGAATCGACCAGGTAGGCCAGCCCTGCCATGGGGCGTTAGTGAATGTGCCTGTGCGTGGGTCTCGGTCCAACACGGTTGATATACATTTGTTTACCTGTTATAGTTGCAAGTTGTACAGGCTGACATTGCCTCGATCGACAGTGATGCTGTCGTTCACCCGACAAACAATGACTTCTACACCGGTGGTGAAGTAGGTAATGCCTAGCTGGGTGCTGCCGAGTATGTGTGTGCATGGTCAGTCGGCCGCCGCAGACAGCTTGATCTTTGACAGCTATGCAGGGCTGCATTCATTTCACACTTCCAGCTGTCCTGACCTTCCCAAGGTCGACCTTCCCAAGGTCTCCCATCCCCGGGTTGTGAACATGAAAAATACAGCTAGCTGTCAGCCAGGTGTATCTTGCAGCTCACCAATGGGCACGCTTCTGGTTTAGAAACTGGTTCATCAACCTCATTTCTTCATTTGCTTCATGAGGCACAGCTTTGATGGAGACTGGGTTCACACATGACTTCAGCTGCCAGGGCAATGCAACCAGATCGGCTGAGGTGCATCCAAGACCTCTCCTGTGCCCTCTGTGCACAAGACACACAGGGAAGCTGTGCTCAGGTCTCCGTGCCCCACCCCAACCCCCCACATCTCTCTCTACATCAGAAGCACACTCCTTCCTGAAAATGGTCTTAAAGCTCAGGTGCCCACCGGGGCAGTTTCAGAACACTCTCCCATACTCAGGGGTTCTCAGACTTTCCAGGAACAAAATCACCTCATTCTGATGTGTCTTGAGAAACACTCTCCTGGACCCAGAAAGCCCCTTCTCTCCCCAGCAGCTGACACAAGTCATCGGTTGGTTCTGTGCTAAATAGCTGAGAATGGGCTGAGGTAGAGAGCACTGGGGGTGCTGAGCCTGTGGCTGCCAACTTGTTGCCACAGTGGGCCAGGCAGTGCCCTGCTTTAAAAATGTTCTGAGGCATTTATGTGATGAGGCATCGATGGCAAAAAACAGAATTGGAGCTAAGTACAGGGGCTTGAATCTTAATCTCACCATTTACTGGTTATGGGGCCTGGGCAAGTCAGTTAACTCCCTGATGCCTCGGTTTCCCTATCTTAAAAATAGTGCTAATAATGAGAATTATGTTCAATAACTAATAAGCAAAGCACCGTGTTTTGTGCCTGGCTCATGATTGGTGCTGACCTATTAGTGCTCGCTCCCGTGTGTGTGATTTTTACAGTAGATATGCTGGTCCTGAGAGGAGCATTCTGAGTGTAGATTCAAACACCAGCTTCCAGAGAGAATGGAGACATCTCTAACTAGGGCAAAGGTGAGGTCATAGTGAAGGATGAGGCTCTCAGGATTTTCGTGAGTGTCCTGGATACTGGAGGCACTGCAGTTAATAGTCTGGTGGCCCAGCTCTGTTTCGTGTCACTAGCAAAGCCTGCTGTTCAGTCTGCTCTAGCCTCTGTGATTTGGGCTAATTGCTGTCCTGGGCATTTTGAATTTCGGACGTGAATGGAAAGACAAACCGGATGGAAAGTCAGGATTTGCCAAGGCTACCAGGTCAAAATTAAACCAGGCTGTAGGTAATTAAAATAAACTTCCCTTTGACAAGATTTTAGAGGAGTTTAAGAGCTCCTAAGTCAGGCAGCTTAAGAGAGAGATGCTTCCTTTCTTAACCAAATGAAAACTTGGTGGGAGAAAAATACTGATTTGGAGGAAAGTAAATAAACAAACAGCTGCCACCTAGGAATTTTAGTGAAATGGAAATTATACTTCCTGGGCCTAGGGAGAGGAGAGTTGCTGAGCTGCTGGCAGTGGAAGGCCTGTGTGCAGCAGGATCAGTCACAGGTGGGGGGGGCGGGTTGGTAGAGCTAGAGGCTTTGAGAGGGTCACACGCAGTCAACTGAGCCCCCTCAAGAACCCAGTCCTTCCTGAATAATGATAGTGCCAATCCTTTTCCCCCTGGCCTGCTTGTCCTCAGCCCACTGGTATGCACAGAGTAAACATATGATAGCCTCAGAGACATGTAAGTAACTTGGGTTCAAGAGCTTGCCCAAGGTCACATCTCTCACTCACACTGTCACAGCTGGGAAAGAACCGCAGGTCCAGACTGCCTGACAGACTGAGGAGGAATCCGAACCCAGGTCTTCAAAAGCCCACCTCACTGCTTTTTCTTGGCGAACCAGTTCAAACTAGTACTGAGCCCAGATTCTTTTCTAATTCCAAACCAATGATCAACCAGATTCACACGTACTCTCAATTGGTTCCAGCTCCCCTTTTGATGTGTGAGAGGGGAAACAAGGAAGCTAGGACGCAATCACTCCATTTCTCATATTTGGTGTGAATTCCTGAGTCCCGAGACCGCTGGAAGAAGGAATGCGAGTGCAGGAATGCTTAGCCCCAGTGATTAACTATACCCATCAAAAGTTCTTTCTAACAGTGAAATAGACCACAGGCTTAGCCTGACATTTGTCCAAGCCTAAATTTTCGCTTAGGCTGTTTTGAACACTGATACTTATGCCTGCTTTCTAAGCATGAAAATAATGTTCTTGTTCTCATGGGAGTAACACATGTTTATGCTTGGGGGCAAATAAGCCAATTGCTTTATGATTAACCCTGAAGTTAAGCCTAAAAAGCAAGAGTCTGACATTGAGTGTTGACAATACAGTTGAAATGGGCCTGTTTCTTGTTAAAAAGTACCTGTGTGTCTACATGAACATGTGCATACTTATGTGTGTGTAGGAGTCAAGTCCTGACTGGGTGGATTGCCTGCAATCTAGGATTCAGTTTTTAAGTTTGGGCATTAAGTGTATTTCAACTTGCAAATTTCACTTCTAATTAAAGCAAGATTTAATTATAAAAATTTTAAAGTAAACGCTCTTCCTAAGATAGAACACCTTTAATTGTAAGTCAGCCCATTTTGGGGGGGTTGGTAGAGCTAGAGGCTTTGAGAGGGTCAAAATATTTTCTTAAATATTTTGTGTTTTAGAAAGGAGTTGGTAGTATTAATATAGTACTGATTTTATTTTCCCTTCCAAATTTCCCAGCTGTCCCAAAGAGTAAATAGGATGGAGAATGAGGACCTGAACTAGTCCTGCCTAGAGCACATTTGTCTCCCTCCTTCAAGCTGGAGACTGGGATTGGGGGAAGGCTAGACCAGGTGCAGCTGGGCAGATTCATTTTTTGGGATCCAGCAGATTCATTTTTCTCAGTGGCACAGATATTTCAGGTGAACCTGTAAGTGAGCCTCACTCACCTGGGTTGTATCCTCAGAGCCTCCACTTCCTGGTGGGTGGGGTCTCTGAGCCAAGATGCCTGAACCTGCCTCCTTGAGCCTATTCAGCCACTGTCTCTGATGCTGAACTTTGTCAGAAACACGTAGAAGTTGCCACTTAAATGCCTACTTCACTGCTTTCCAAGACAGAGGAAGGCATGGGGGCAGTCTGAGTTAATGAGGAGGGATGCTGGATTCCCTCCTCAACGATCCCAAGTTAATCTCTCTGAAAGCCAGGCTTCCTCCTAGTCAGCTGAGCGTGCCTGTCAGTGACGGCCTGCATCACTGTTCATTCATGCACCCCAGACTTCTATAGTCAGATGGCTCACAGGTCAGTACCTTTCATTAACCCTGGGGCTGTCTTGTTGGTGACAGTGCCCAGGCCCTCTGATTTTCCTTCTAGATACTTCCTGGGGTCAGTTTGCCCCTCCAGAACAAGCATTCAAATGAGGCAGATTTCTCTTAAGAAAACCAGCCCCAGTCATTGCAGGGCAAATCCCGAGAGAATTTGGGCTGGTGCATTCTGATGCACCCGACTGACCCATTCTTGACTTTTCCAAGACAAATGGTGAATCTTAAGGGGAGTATTTTGTCCTCTCGTGAGGAAAAGTACTTTAAAATGTGCGAAACTGAAGAATCAGAGCTTAAGGAAGACCGAGACCCCATTCTGGCCAAACTTTAAAGGGTGGTGTCATCTCTCATTTTGGTTACTGCTTGCTGTCCCACATGAGACATTTAACCCACAGACCTTGTCGGTGTTGGGATCTTGTTTGAGAGCTTGGCTTTCATAGCAGAAATTGGTTTATTTTTATATACCCTAATGCACAAGGAAAAGTGCTTCCTACTCCTGAACAGCGATGTCATCCTCCTTTCCCAGCTTTTGTATAATACAAGTTCATCTCTAAGCTCTGCTTCTGATGTTGCTCTCCTTTACCTGAAATGATTCTGAATCATAAGTGTGATTAAGGAAATTCTGTCTGAGGCCTTTTTTTTTTTTTTGTATTCACATATGTCTAAGCTGCAAAATAAGAACTAAGCATGGTAATAACATTGGTCCAGAAATGACCAAATCTGCATGCTTTCTTCTGGGCCTGCTGCCAGGAGGGGAGCTAGCTGCCTGATGGGAGCATGGTATGCTTCTTCTAAAACCTCCTTATTTGGGGGTTCTCCCCCAGAGACAGAGAAGAAAATCCAGGGGAGGTATCAGCCTTGGAAGCCATCTGGTTTCTCATGCCAACAAAAAGCACGTAGGGCAGGTTGCTCACAAAGAACAGGCATCTCCCATCTCTCGAATCTCTGGCTCATCCAGGATAACCCTGAGTCACCCCCAAATAAGGGTCTGCAGTGCCAGAGTGGTATCTGGCCGCTGGCGAAGCCCTTCTGCATCTCACTCTTATGACTCAGCCGAGGCTTAGCTCCTGTTTTGCAGCCATATGGGAAGTTAGCTGGTCAGATCATATAAAGTATGTAGTCACCTGACATGCTAAGTGTCTGTGTGTGCCCTGAGACACTGGAGTGGCAACCTGAGCTTGTCCTGTCCTTGTCTAGGAAACACGCTGGAGAAGAAAGGAGGCAAGGAGTTTGTGGAAGCTGTCCTGGAGCTCCGGAAAAAGAATGGGCCCTTGGAAGTGGCTGGAGGTAAGGGCAGGAAGCACGGGCATGCTTGGGTGTGGCGATGCAGGGGGTTAGGGAAAGCAGTTAGGAGACAGCTTGGGATTCAGAGGTGGAAGTACAGATGCATCTTTGAGATGGAGGGGGAACCTGTTGGCTTTACAACTTAGACTTTTGTTACATGCAGATTGTCAGGGGAGCTTAAGGGTTGTGGAAATCGCCTTTCCAATTTTTTTCTTTATTGCTTAAAATAGCTTCTAGATGTTCGATGTCAAATTTTAAGGAATTACAGAAGTCGAGTTTGGCAAATTTAAGCTCTGAGAATTAGAGACAGTGCTACTGATCCATCTGCAAAACTGCTGGTGAGAGATGCAAATTAATCACTTTTATTCAGCCATCTGTGCTTTTAATGGGAAAATATAAAGACACATTTCTCACTTGCCAATTACACCGTTCCTGATATAGGGGAAATCTGATGTGGGGAGGAATGGTGCTAAGGTCTGTAGAGGCAGAGTACTGGTTACTGCTGCCGGCCTGGATGTTGGAATTTCAGGTGGGCAGAGGCCTCCTGAGGGTCTGGAGTCCACAGGGGTGTGGCCTGGTCAGCCCACAGCTGTGCAAGGATAGGCTCTGATTTCCCTTCTTACTAGATGGTCCCCAGTGCCCATTCTGTCTTCAAATCCTGCTTTTAAAATGAATCTTAATTAAATATGGGCATCAATAATTACTGTGTGTCCACAGAATCCCTTCTCAGGGTCCATCCATCATAACCCTTTTTTCCCCCAGGGACTACATATGGCTTGCTAGCCTAGGCTAGTCATGGGTCTCTGTGCCTTTGACCTCTGTTTTGCCAGTTGTTTGCCTACAAGGGACATGGCATTGCTTAGGGGCACAATTATCCAACTCTCCCAGCCAGTTCCGCCGAACAAGGGAAGACACACACAGCATAACCTACCTGGCCAGGGTTCCTGGCCTTTCTTCAGCCCCTGCCCAGTGTCCTCCCATTGGTGTTCAGTTTGAACCTATTTGGTGGCCCTAGTGCTGCCATGCACCAGACTCAGCAAACCCATTAGATTTAGTATGGCTAGAGATCTATTCGCTTGTTTTAATAACAAAAACACACTTTGTTCTTGATTTTAAGATTTTAGAAAAGGTTTTAAAAAGATAATCACTGTTAACATGTTTCTCTCCACTCTTTTCCATGCATAGTTGAGCAGTGATGTCTGACATGGACAGACCAATGAACTAAATCCAGTCTTAGGTTTTAATAGGTCAACACTTCAGCTCAGACTTCTCAAACCAGTCAGTAAGCCTCATCAAGATGCACACTCACACTCGTGAATCTTGGTCCAGAGCTATTTCTACTGTACCATGAGACAATACCCACAAATCACTTACTAATGACATGTTCAACCAAAAAGTTTGGGTGTCTTCCTGTCGCAGTGTTGTGGGGATGTTCAGGTGCTCCAGGATAGAAGGATGCAGGCAGCACTCACCAACCCTGGGACTTAGAGCCACCTCCTTTGCATCACATCTTTGGGCACAGGAATCCTGAAATGTGCTCTAGGAGATACCAGGCTGGCTGGTTCCATTTCATTGGTGGGGGAGGGGCAGACAGAGATGGAGCAGGTCTGCTATGAGTAGCTGGAGAAAGGCTCCTTTCTGGCAAAAGAAAATAGTTTCATCCTAGAAGCAGTCTACCAGGTGTACCGGTTAATAATGCGGGTTTTTTTCAATAGATGGAGTTACACGTATGTTGATATGTATGCGATTTGATATGTATGCTATTTTGTTGTATTGACTGCAAGCTTAAAAACATCACATGTCAAATTTTCTTTTT